TAAATAACCTAATCAAATTCCAGGAAAAAACAGGAGCAATGATTGAAATAATAAGCTACAAGCAGAAGGCGAAAAGATTACTTTGGAACGGTATACCACATCATCATTTTAATAAATGTCTGCGCCATCTGATTGCCCACCAACACTTGCAAACCACATCGCAGATCCTGCCTGCCAGTCAAACAAGTTCAGTGAATGCGGTGACTCCTATGTCTCGGCCTCTACTTCTGCCTGACAACACAGAGCTCCTTAGCATTGGTGTTCATGGAAGTGGAAAAGAAATCGGTGTGAGTGAGGGGGGTGAAAAGCAGAGTAACGGGGTTGTGAGTGAGGGGGGTGAAAATCAGAGTAACGGGGTTGTGAGTGAGGGGGGTGAAAAGCAGAGTAACGGGGTTGTGAGTGAGGGGGGGGATAAGCAAAATAATCAAATTGTAAATTTTATAGAAAGCCAGTGTACAAGTGGTCTTAAGGAGCAGAGAACACCTGCTTTGGCTTTAAACTTAGGTTTGGGGGGGGCTTCTCGGGGAACTTAAGGCGTAGAGATGTTCACTTAGGTGGGAATAATAAGCATAATTCGGTCATGGTAAAAAATAAAAAAATTACAATTTTTCACCAAAACATTCAGAATTTGGTATCAAGAGTAGAGGGGTTAGAGATAGTTCTAGATGAGATTAAACCTGACATTTTAGTCTTATCAGAGCATAACATGAAATCTGATGAGCTGAGCAGATTTAATTTAAACGGTTTTATGATAAATTCAGATTACACTCGGGAAAAATTTAAAAGTGGAGGTGTTTTGATATTATCTAAGCTTGGTTTAAAGTGGAAGCAGGTGAACTATGCTAATATTGAAGTGTTAAGGGAAGAAAAAGTGTTTGAGTTCTGTTGTTCAAAATATTTTTTTGTAGGGGATGAAATTCTTTTGGTTGGTATATATAGATCACCTGCAAGTAGTGTTAATGAATTTTTAAGTCGATTAGGTATTCTATGTGACTATGTGTTATCAAAAAACAAAAAGGTGGTAATAGTAGGAGATTTTAATATAAATGTTTTAGTAAACAGCAAACAAAGCAAGGATTTTGATAATTTGTTAAAATCTCACGGTTTGAAATTTTTAGTAAATTTTCCAACAAGGGTCACAGCTAACTCAGTAACGGCTATTGATAACATTCTAACAAACATTCCAATCCATGAATTAAAGACCACAGGAGTCATAACTGAGCTTTCAGATCACGATGGACAAATCTTAGAAATAAATATTTTAGATAAATGTATAAAAAACAATTACATTTTTAAAAAATCCCGACAATTCTCAGAAGAAAATAAGCTCCAATTTTATCAAATGCTGGAAAAGGAAAACTGGAATGATGTTTATTTAGCACCGGTAACAGAAAAGTACAATATTTTTTACAAAACGTTAATTTACTATTTCAATTTATGTTTTGAAAATAAACTTGTCAAAATTTACAACACAAAGAAATCCTGGATAAATCCAGAAATTAAACAAGAAAAACAGGAAATTATAAAAATGAGTAGAATAGCTAGAAAAGTACAAAATAAATGTACTTTCTCTAAACTAAATAAAAGAAAAAAAATATTAAATAAAAAATTACTGAGAGTAAAAAGAAGTTTTTTGATTTCCAAATTCATAATTCAAGTAACATTAACAAAACCACATGGAGAATAATTAATAATGAAGTTTCAAACAAAAAAAACACTTACTCAGAGAATATTAGTCTTCGACTGAATGATGTACTAATTGAAAATCCTACTTATGTTGCAAACATGTTTAATAATTACTTTATAGATGTTGTAGATAGCTTTAGTGTTAGGCAACCTTTAGATAAAAATAGAGGAACAACTAATCAAGTTAGCGATGTAAATAAAACAAAAGGGCTTTTTGAAAGTAGGATATTTAAGTGCACTCCTGTAGATGAGAAGGAAATGGAAAGAATTGTTGGTTCACTTAAGAATAAAATGTCTAGTGGTTATGATGATATACCAACTAAATTATTAAAATATGTAGGGAACCTTTTAGTAAAGCCACTTGTACATTTGGTGAATTCCTCTTTTGTGTCTGGCTTATTTCCGCATCAACTAAAAATTGCAAAGGTAATTCCTTTACATAAAAAAAACGAAGTTAATGAAATATCTAACTATAGACCTGTTTCATTGCTCCCTGCTGTATCAAAGGTATACGAGAAAGCAATGTACATTAGATTGGTAGATTATCTTGAATCAAATAAGTTATTTGATAATTCTCAACATGGTTTCAGAAATGGTAGATCAGTAATAACAGCAGCTACTGACTTCATTGAGTCCATCGTAGAATCAATTGAAAACGGTGAAAATGTTCTAGGGATATACATGGATCTCTCTAAAGCATTTGATAGTGTTTGTCATTCAATTTTGCTAGAGAAACTGGAAAGTCTTGGAATAATGGGAGTCCCCTTAAAATGGTTTCAATCTTATTTGGATGGTCGGATGCAATTTGTTGAAATAAAATCAAACAAAAACAATTATTTAACTACATTTAACTCTCATAAACGTAGAATTAAGTGGGGGGTGCCACAGGGTTCAATTTTGGGACCAATTTTGTTTTTATGTTATATAAAAGAATTGCCTAAAAGTATTGTTAATCCTCAAAAGAGTAAGATTTGTTTATATGCAGATGATTCAAATTTAACAGTGGCGGGGAAAAGTAAAGAGGAGTTGGAAATTTCGGCCTTTGTAGAATTGTATAGTATACAACAATTTCTAAAAAATAATAATTTGAATCTTAATACAACAAAAACAAACTTTATGTCCTTTTCGACTAAACAAAGTAAACAGAAACTTGAACCCAATTTGATCATTGATTCAGAATCAATAGAACAACTTTCTGAAGCCAAACTTTTAGGTCTCTATGTAGATGAACATCTAAGTTGGAATAAACACGTTGAAAAATTGTTAAAAAAGCTTAATTCTGGAGTGTACGCATTGAAAAGAATGTCTTATTTGTGCAATTTAGATGCACTTAAAAAAATATATTTCGCCCATATTCATTCTCACATAAACTATGGCATTGGACTATATGGGGCAACTACGATTAAAAATTTAAATAAAATTCTAATCATGCAAGAAAAAGCCATTAGAACTATGTTACACCTTAAAAAAGATGAATCAGTTAAATCTCACTTTAAAAATCTAAATATTTTAACAGTTTTTGCAGCGTATACTTTTGAAATAGCATGTATAGCTAAAAGAGACAGCCTAAAATATGAGCCAGTTGTGCCACATAGTTACAATACAAGACATAAAAAGAATATTGTAACTTCAACCTATAAGCTGGAATTCTCCAAAAAAAAACCAACTTTTGCTGGATCACTAATTCTAAGGAAATTGCCTGCCTCTATAAAGGAGGAGTCAAATTATAAATTATTTAAATCTAAATTAAAAAAACATTTAATAGAAAAGGCGCCTTATACAATGGAGGAACTCATTGAATAAATACCTATTCATACTTAAAATGTATTTATATCTTTAAGCTAGTTTAGTACTTTATACTTGACACTATTTTTGTACCCATGTACATGTAAGGAAAATAAAGATGTTTTGATTTGATTTTGATTTGAGTTCAAAGCAATTATTTTCAATCAAATAGCTGTATCAGATAACAGATTATTGTATCACTTTCAAAGTATCATAACTATCATAAGTTTTTGGTTGGGATTAAGAAACTATGCATTAGGCCAAGTCAAAGGCATCATCTGATATATTAAAAACTGGGAGAGTTTTTTTTTTTTTTTTTTTTTTTTTATCCCAGATTCTGAACCAACCACTTGAGTTTTAATGATTTTTCCGTTGAAAGAAAGAAAATTAAGGATGAGAATTTCAAAGCCATATTTTAATTTGGGGTTTCAGTTTTTTCAAGTTTTAGTTTTTTTTTTCTAGCAGCCAACGTTTTAGTTTTAAGTTTATTTCAGTGTAATTTGGTTTCCTTAACTGTAACAAAAATGGTTTCAAACTGACACTAAAATGTTTATATTAGGCCTACAAGTTGATTACAAAAATGATCGTTGGTATTACATATTTTTACAATGTTACTGAATTGAGACCGGACGCTATTCGGATGATCAAATAATCTGGATTATCGAAACTACCTTTAAAAATGTACAGCACGCAGTAAAAAAACTTTTTTAGTAAAAAACTCTTTAAAATTGTATATTTTCTTTTAAAGTACTCATATGAGAAAATATACAACTTTAAAACATAAACGGTCTAAAAGAGCGATGAATTATGAATTTATAACATTTTTAATGTTCAAACACAGTAGTGAAGACTTGATGAACTAGGAGGTGGATAATTAACCATGGTACCTAAATAGATTTCTCTAAAATAACGTTACATAACCTCATTATCCAAGAAAATGCTATGAAAATTCTTTAAAATGTATTTGATAATTTTGGCGTATTAATACGCATTGAATATTCCAATTTACATTACATAATGAGAAATAAAACAGAGTAAGGGGATAATAACTAGTACAAAATTTGTAGGAAGAAATCTGCCAATGCTTATGGGATAAGCGTAGATAGACAAGAGCCTGCACGTAGGTTTGGTTGTTTTCAGTCTAAATTAAAAGGGTACAAACAGAATGTGGGAAAGATTTTTGTAAGCCTTCATTATTTAAAACAAATTCTTTACTGCGGATGAGAGAATGTTGGGGACGACAACCAAAGTGCAATCAGTGCTTTATCAGTGTAATCAAAATCAGGAGACAGTTTGAGGGCGAGGGGGTCAAAGGGTCAAGGATTTCATGGTGAGTTAGCCTCTGGATCACTAAATTTAAGCTAAATGGTTTATGTTACCTGGCTTCGTCAAGTAGTCCTGTTTTTTACAGTATTATATTTGTTTTTTGTGTTTTTCGTGTTCGTGTACGTGTTCTAAGTATAACGATGAATCTAGCCAAATTGATCCAACCAAAAAAATTGAGCAAAAGGGAAATTGCCTATTCGTACCTTATAGAGGGTGCGACAATAATCCCGACAAGCAACAGCCTCCACAACACCAGGGGGTGGGACGGAGGCATCTCGAAGATATGTTTGAGGAAGAAAGTGTTGAGTTCACACACTTGCCAGAAGATGACGAGCTGACAGATGGCAAAGAAGCGCATGTAAGTTGTGGACGGGTCAAGCCATCTCACTTCCATCCAGTCACGCGGCGTGAACTGCAACACTGCTCGCTTCAACTTGCCTGTGGTTGAATGGATGTCCCTGAACAGCATATTAGGCTTCACACTAAACGTATTTTGAATATATTATTTAGAAAGTTATTTCTTTGAGTTATCACATTAATGTTTTAATTAAAACTGTGGTAAAATATGTCACAAGTCATGCACAATAAGCTTCAGTTGACTTGACGGAACCTTGGGTTCGTCCCCATATACAAGTCATAAGTCAGTCCTGTATTCAGAAAATACCAAATATTGTATTGGAAAAGACAAATTCAATAATAGTAAAATGAACATCTTTTGATTGAGGTAATTAAAATGTACAACTGACAGGAATCAATGACTAAATGTCAGCGGACAAATAACCAGCAAGGTTTTTTAACTAATATGATTTTAGTTGTTACCTAACACTGAGTAAATTAATCTTAAGCTTTGAATGTTAAAGCATCTGGATAAAACGTGTTACGCCATGGTACAAAACACAAAAGACAATATTGATCAACTGAAGTTGAATAGACAGGGATTTATAAGTTGTAAGAAATGTGTACGAAGAATGTAGGCTACTACAGTTGGTATTGGTGTTAAATAACGAATGATTCCTTTTTTACAATGGAAAAGATATCAAAGATATATATTGAAGAAAGAGTCAAGATAGCTGCTAACCTCAATGAGTCCTTACAAGATCGTCTCTTGAAAACAAAAAATATAACTTGAATAAGTCTTTTTTTGGATTTTTAAAAGAAATGAGGTAAGCTTGTTTTCAGATTCATAAACAGGCAAAGTACTAACTAGATGAGGGATTATCAAGCTGTAGTAAACAGAAAGGGGACAGTTGTTTACCATTTAAAATTATTTAACTCATTGACGACAACTTAAGAAACGCTATCTTACGAGCGTTAGTATCGTTTTGTGCTTATAATGGCAATCAACCCATTCGACCAACAATTGCATCGTAACTCAGTTGGTTAAGCCATTGCACTGACGAGTGTAGCGTTGCGGTCTTCCTAAATGCGCAGGTTTGAATCCCGTACGTGTTCAATTCACACTGAGCTTATTAATGTGTGGCTTAGCTGAATTGGAGGGCCCTCATTAAACAAACAGTATCTGGCTTGTATGGAAGCTGACGTCATTAGTGAGTTTAATAAGGATTTACACACAATCCTTTTTTTACATAGAGGAGGAAGATATTGAATTTTCTTTTTTGGCTTTTATTTAGGTTGAAAATGGAGCATTCCATGGAAATACATACATGATAAAAGACATAAAAGGACGTACGGAAACCTAAAAAAATTTAACTAGGCCTAATAGAGGAATAAACAATTCCGGCGTTAATGGGTTGGTACAGTTTGTTTTCAACCCTTTGACAAGTTGTTTTTTTCTAGGTCTATAGAATAGTTATTTAAAAGATAGTATATGTAGCCTATTATACAAGTTATATCATGCTTAAACACTTACAACCTATGATAGATTGAGTTGAAAAGGGACTAACCTTATACTAACCCACTTGTATTCCCTCATCTCAAGCATTTTACAGATTTTGAGACCGACCCAAATACCGAGACCATTGCAGACCAATACATCAAGAACTAGAGCATCCCACCAGCACTCGGAGAAGTTTGGTAAGAGATGAGCAAACGCAATCTGCAAGAAACATAAATTAGTTGAAAATAGGTTAAAATAAATTCTATCAGTAATGTTGATGCTGTGGTTGTGGCATAAAATAATTAGATGTGTGCAATGCAGCATTTTTCCCCCTTTGATTTGATACATAAATGTGATTCAACGAATTTCTATTCGAATCTATGTAATTTGATTCGATGCACGGCATGATTTTCTTTCAAAATTATTGACAACTTGCGTTACTGTAATGGATCATCAACCTTAAAAAAGATTAAAGTAAAAAAGTACTAACAAAAACTAAAGTACTTTTTTGTGAACAAGAGGATATTTGCTGACCTAACCTGCTGATGGAGACTGCTGATTTTATGGTTGGCCTATGGTTTTTCCGATGTATCAGGACCAAATTGATGCATTGAGACTAAATCGACGCAACAAGACTAACAGTGCCGGATTTACCACTAGGCCGATTAGGCCACGGCCTAGGGCCGCAAGCAAAAGGGGGCCGCAGAGGAATGAGAAAAAACATTTTTTAGATAAAAAATAAGTTATTTTAAACCACCAGTTTGCCACGATCACAGGAGACCATAATGATGTCTCCGCAAACCAAGGGAGATGTTCATGATTTTGCCACGGCCGCCGGTGCCTATGTGATGATGTCCCGTGATTGCGGCCAGCGGGAGACGTTCACGATTTAGCCGCGGCCGCGGGTAACGGTGACGTGTCCTCATGATGGCAGCCCTCAGGAGACGTTCAAGAATTAGCTGCTATCGCGAGTTCTCAATTATGATGTCCCCGTGATTGCGGCCCGTGTGTGTCGTTCACGATTTAGCCGTGGCTTCGGTTTACGGTGATGTCATGATCGAAGCTCACGGGAGATGTTTTTAACACGACTTTGCCGCGATCGCAAGCGTCGACGATGATGTCCCCGTGATTACTACTTTGCGGGAGATGTTTACGATTCTGCCACGGTCGCGAGTGTCGATGATGATGTCCCCGTGATTGCGGCTCACGGGAGATGTTAACGATTTCGCCGCGGCTAAAGCTGTCATTGAGGATGTCCCCGTGATGGCTTCCCGAGGGGGGTGTTTACGATTTCGGCACGGCTGCGGGTGACAATGATGATGTCCTCATGGTCGCAGTCCACGGGAGATGTTTTTAACACGACTTTGCTGCGATCGCAAGTGTCGATGATGATGTTCCCGTGATTGCTGCCTCGCGGGAGATGTTTACGATTTTGCCACGGTCGCGAGTGTCGTTGATGATGTCCCCGTGATTGCGGGCGGAGGGAGATGTACACGATTTAACTGCGGTCGCGGGTGACGGGGACGGTGTCCTCAAGGTCACAGCTCACGGGATATGATCACGATTTCACCGTGGTCTCGAGTGTTGAGGATGATGTCCCTTTGTTGCAGCCTGCGGGAGATGTTTACGATTTTGCCACGGTCGCGAGTGTCGTTGATGATGTCCCCGTGATTGCGGGCGGAGGGAGATGTACACGATTTAACTGCGGTCGCGGGTGACGGGGACGGTGTCCTCAAGGTCACAGCTCACGGGATATGATCACGATTTCACCGTGGTCTCGAGTGTTGAGGATGATGTCCCTTTGTTGCAGCCTGCGGGAGATGTTTACGATTTTCCCGCGGTCACGGATACCTATGATGGCTTTGATTTGGTTTAGGAGAGATGTCCAGGATTTCATCCACGATCACGGGTGTCGATGATGATGTCCCCTTGATGCATAGGAGATATTCACTATTACTTCCGCGATCGCAAGGAATTTTCACCACAGGGGGAGGGCCGCTCAAGTAATTTGGCCTAGGGCCGCAAGTACCCTAAATCCGGCACTGAAGACTAAATCGATGCATAGGTATATCGATGCATGCTGAATTGAATCGCGATACATAATTGACATACTCCTCTGAGCACAGATGCCATTTTTGTCACTGGGCCACTTATTAATTATGCTATCTAACAAAAGGTCCATGTTAGATAGTAACAAGCCCAGGGTCCAAACCGTTCCCTTACAAAAAGGTAAAAAAAATGCCAACAGCATTGCGGCAAAATAAAATATTCGGTATCGTTAGGCCTAATTTATCACATTTTTTGTAACATGAAATAGCTCATGTGGGCCTTGAAAGGCTTGCACTGTAATTTTGAAAAGGTAGTAAAAATACACATTTTTGGTGTGAATCGTGGAAGATGTTCATGATTTTGCCACGACCGCTGGAGACATTCACAATATTGCCCTGACTACATGAGATGTTCAGTTTCACAGTGATTGGGGGGGATAATGTACAATATTTTATAAACCGATTGAAGAAAAAACAACTATTGTTTAAGTTTTTCAAAATCAATACTTTCCAGAGAAACTTGATTTTGTTTGGTTTGGCCTAAGACCCAAGGTAATCATTTTCAGCCCGACCAAACCCAAAGTAAAAAAAACTCGCCCACAGACCCCTAGAATAAATTAAAACAATCTTCCATGGACTTAATGTCTTATTGTATCCAACTTCACAGTTGGATAAGGCATTTATTGCATGGAGGATTGCTTTGATTTATTCTAGGAATCTGTGGGCAAGAGTTTTTTTTGGGGGGGATTTACAAATGTAATGTTTTAAACAATAGATATTCTAGGTTTAATGTTGAATGGTTGAATATATATTGTTCAAAACATTATGTTATTTAATTTTAGCTATGACTGCTATGAGGATATGTGAGGTTGCACGACTTTTAGTCCAGCTTACAAAAAGCAAATAAAAAAGAAAGAATAAAACCATTGCCATGTGATTTTTTTATGTTGTAATATTAATTTTGCTACACTATGAAATGACCTGTTTTTGTTGCATGTTTATCTCCTGTATCATTACATTTTTTTACTACGGAACAGAGTTTTTACTATGCGAAAGTAATGTTTACTATCTTTTTTGGAATATGCCGACGTAAACAAACAAATATTTGTTATTGTTTTGTCAACTGTTTCAATTTTCAACAACCAAAAGTAGGCCTATACAGCCAAAGTACCTAAATTATTGACTTTAAATTGAAGGCATGACCTAAAATAAAGAAATATCCAATGTCTATTTTAATTCACAAAATAATATTAGTCTTTGTAGTGTAGCGAAAAGTATTGTTTAAAACAAGAGTGAAAGTGGGTCTTCTCGAACATTTTAAGTGCTCGATAAATCTTACATTTTAAACATGGTCTCAAATATGTAATGACTCACTTACTACTCTTGTTACGAAATATACTGTTTTAAATGCCTAAGTTAGTAAGATAGTATTAATAAGTAGAATCGAATCACCTCTGTAAACTCCCACATGACACTGACTGCCCAGAGAATTCCAAGATGGCGGACCAGCAGAGCTTTGAAGGCCCATCCCAGGAAGTGGGCCACAGCAAACACATCCACGTGATTCCATATGTTTTCAAACGAGATGTTCGAACAATTGACACCATACTCCTAGAATTACATACCGTATAAAACTGAAGCGATAATAACTAAAGAAAGTTTAATATAAGGATTACGAAAGATACAAATTACTTTAGGATTCCAGATTCCATAAGGATAGCTTCAAAAGTCAGCTTCAAATTAAGTTAAAATCATGAAGCAAAACTTTTAAGCCTACATCATAGAATGTAAATTTAGACAATAACCATATACAGTACAGGACTTACCTAAAGTTACAGTAATGATTACTTACCCTATCCATGTCTATGTGGAAGTGTTCAAGTTCTGGATCAAACCAGTATATTATTTGCTTCACTGTTTTGTAGTTTTGGAACAGGCAGAACACGAGTAGCATCAAATATAACACGCTAAGTCCAAAAACCATTCTCCAAACAGCTGGATGTGGTCTTGTAAAAGGTCCATTTGGAAATGCCAAAATTGATATTATCATAAAGAAGAATACAACACAAAAGACTCCTGCCCTAATATTGGCACTAATATCTTGTTCATCTCTGAAAGAAGAACAAAATAACAGTGATTAGCAAATAAGAACAACAATTAAATTTTATTATGAGTAGGCCTACATAAGAGATACAGTACCTACATAAATAAACGGAAATCAAATAAAAAGAAACCATTAACAGTTTTCATCAACATCTTTTCAACTACGGTAGGCCTAGTTTAATCATGATAAAAAATTAAGAATGATATTTTTTATGTTGTTCAAAGGATTCAAGCAATAGATTGTTAAAGTTGTTAAAGTTATTGTTAAAGTTATGGGCCTACTGTCAATTTGAGTCTACAAACAAGATATAAAATTATGTTTGTTATTAAGTGCTTATTAAGTGTTATTAAGTGCAAAACATATAAGATGGGCTAGAGTAAAAAATAGTAGTAAACATGTCCAGTTTCTCTTTTGTTAATAACTATTTTCTATCACCAGATATACATGTTCTATTACAAACTTGCATTCTCATCATTAATAATGTCTCTCAATAAATAGTTTTTTAGCCCCCCGAGCTGTGATAGATACAGATACACCCCCGCAGCAAACCTGCAGACTAAGCGAATTTGAATTTGTCTGACTGGATTTTTACTAGGGTCAACCGGGGCTAATATGAACACACCAAAATATTGGGGCTAATATGAACAATGACTTAAAAAGTCATTTATCTGGGATTTTTAATCATGAAAAAAATATAATTAGAAAGGAAATTTATTGTATTTTTTGTGTCCATAATGAGAAAACTTCAAATTTGACTTTTAGGTACTTTAAAAAAATACTTTGTTAAAACACTTTTTTTCCGCCCAAAAAACTTTTCCGCGCAAAGTGAAAACTTTTGTTATAACAATTTTTACATTGGTTGTAGGAATAATCTTAAGCCTGAATTTTGTTAAATAAGAATTGGGGATTATTTTTCTTTTCCCAAAGTTAAAATATATTAATAACAGCCAAAGTTATAAGCTTTCAAAGTTGGGGGGCTAATGTGAACAGTGAATGGGGGCTATTATGAACAACAATATATACAGTATATATTGTACTATATATACAAGCTCAGGCTGACGGGGAGATCGAAGTGATGGGATTTAAATCCTGTGATGAGGAAAAAAATCATTCCTGAAAAAAGTAGATGATATATTTATTGTTTCTACCACTGACATTTTGGGGAAACTTCCAGCCCCTAATGTATGTGGAACCAGTGATAGACATAAGTATGTCTTCGACAAAATTGTCGAAGTTTTGAGGCGTAAGTTCCTCAATAAACTTCTTTGAAGGCCTTACAGTGATAAAACAGTTTTTATTTTACAAAGACAACAGTTAAGGTGTTGAATAGGCCTAGCCCACATTTTTATATTTACCTAATAGGCCTAAAAGTGCAATAAACTGTCATTTGCCTAAACGAACAATTTGCATTGTCTTAAATTATTGTTTTTTTTTAAGTGCTTTAAACAATTTGTATGTGGAAGAAATTTTTAATAAATAGGTACTCAGGTATGTTGACAGATAATTTTTTTCTTGTTTATATCTTATTATTAGCCTTGTATAATATTTATAAATGGTTTAAAAAAAAGGGTTACCGTAGGGCGACCCGCGGCTCTCCAAAGATACCTTCATATCTCAAAAACTATTTGAGATAAAATATTGAGACTTATTGCAACTGGTAGACTAGACCCTAGGCTTGTTCACAACAGCCCCCACATATGCCTAGTGTTGTAAATAACAGAGTTATTAAGAGTGTTCACATTAGCCCCATGGGCTGTTCACATTAGCCCCTTTTAGCGGGGCTAATGTGAACAGTGGTTTTTAATTTTTTTTTTTATAATGGTTACATTTATGGTTTTTGTTAGTAAATAAATAGATTCAGCTAAAAGAGCTGTATACACTACTATTTTTTCTTTTCTTCTGTCATTTACCATTTTTGAGTTAATGTCAAAAGTTTACTTTTTTTGTTCATATTAGCCCCGGTTGACCCTACAATATTTCAATAAAATGTCCGAGGTCCGGAAAGTGTTCAAAATGTAGGTAGGCCAACTTACTGTGCAAAACGGTTGGTTTTGCAAATTTTTGTACCTAATTTGATTTGTCAATTTATTGTTTCTTTGCATTGTTTTTTTTTTTATTTTAAATTTTAAAATTAATATTTAATTACCCTAATTCAAATAAATAATTAATCAAACTGTGGCCACTGGTAAGCCAAGTGGTACAGCTCGTGAAACCTAAGCGGCACTTGACCGATCGCTACTAGCATCTAGTTCAAAAACATTATGTCCCGTCATGTGGGTTGCGTCAACTGTCCTTGCGACCCAAGTACATTAAACACGGGGAGTCAACCCAGTGAGGCAGCGCGAATGTTTGCAGTTCGGTCTATTCCTCACCTCCACCCTTCTCTCGTCTACATTGCTGGCTCTAGGCCAAGTGCCAGATTACAAGCTGTACTGGCCACACCAACACAATGCCTCCATTCATCCCTAGCTCTTGCCACAATTCTTCCGTACACTTTTCCACTTGGTCTAACCATTTGCGGTAAGTGTGGTTAACAAGAGTCTCATAAAGGGGGGGGCGCTCGAGCCTCCCTATCCAATATTGGTGGACGCCATGGGTGGGGGTATTGTTTTTTACCTAACTTAGTTTGTTTTTCATACAACTGTATACCGGGAGACTGAGCCTTGCTCGGTTGTGGTTAACTGGGTTTAAGCATTAAAACTAGGGATGGTCAAGTCTCGAAATTTCGGGAAATTTTAAATCTCGTTACACGAGACGAGATTTCTTTTCGGCCGAGATTTTTATCAAGACGAGAATAAAAAAAAAAAAAAAAATTAAAAACGGCTGCAGAAAGTCAATGCAATACCCGCAATACCGGAGCGTGTTGTAGTTGCGTTTCCTTTGCGAAGGCGTTCTTATTTAATTAATTCTATAAATGTAAATATTACTTTAATTATTTTAATAATATTACTTTAATAACATTTGAGAAGTTTTGTAAAGTGTAAGCAGTGTGAGGAATGTTTTATTACCTACTATAAAAAGTCAAAACAAGTAGGCCCTAACTATTTTATAAAAATTAATATTGCTTTTATTTTATGATTTATTTTATTTTAGGATAAGTTGAACTCTATCCTAACTGATATCACTATGTTTCCTAATGGTAGGCATTTTTAATAAGTTAGGCGTGATTAATAAAAAAAATGTTATGCTGATGTTTTTTAATAAAAGATTGTAAATATTCTTGCCTATTATCATTATTTTTGTATTTAAACAGTCATCTAACAATGTTACAAAATCAGGTAAAAATTTTGAACGTGCATTTCCCGTTGTGTATGAGAAGGGAAATCCCGTCTTGATCTCGTATCGAAATTTTGAGAAATAAAAAATCTCGTCTTGTCTCGTCTCGAACTAAAAATTCAATCTCGTCCATCCCTAGTTAAAACAATACCTATCGTAAACAGACACATTTTATACTTTACAAAAAACATTTTTATTACAAACCATAGACATATGATCGCTGAAATAAGAAACAACGCTGTACTGTAATGTTTTACTCTGTAGAAGTATCCTTGATTCTTTTGTCTTTATTGGTGTCAACTCATACCGTACTTAGTGATGAGTTTAATTTTAGTATAGGCCTACCTAGTTACCTAGTGATTTCTATCAAAAGTTACATTATGACATTCATAACTTTAAATCAAAGCTGTGGGGTACAGTTTCTTAACATGTTCAGTGCGAGGGGCGGGAATTCTTGCCCCGCGGTACCGGCGCCACTGGTGCGGGGCGGGAAATCACGTCCTTTACCAATGTCAACAACTTTGCTTCAATGTGTGCTCAGCCATTGCCGGGGAACGTTGTAATTGTTGCCAGCCTGTAGCGTAGAATGCAAGCTTTATTTTGGTGCCTAGGTTGGTATCCCGTAAAATCTCGTCTGGCAATGCTTTTGTCCCGTTTTCGGGGATTTTCTCTATTCGAGCCATATTACAAAGACTCTGGTTATTGATCCAGGCAGTACTGCTACCTTTGGGTGTTTTAGTGACCTACACCACTTTTGGGGTAACGCAGAACAATCACCACTGCTCTTTTGTGATTCGTCTTACTGAGATATTTCAACGCTAATAGCGATCGCTGATTCAGTTAGCATGCCGGGGCTCCGCCCGGGCCACACCGCAGTTTAGGAGCACCTGTGTAAAGGTTTTCAGCAGTGAACATGTTAACTAGGCTATGCTAATATCGATTGAAACTATCAATTTGATAAGTAAGTTAAACCTTCATTAGATTTTTTAATTATCAGCAAGTTTGGTTAGTGTTAGGTTAGGTTAAGACAGTTTCATTTAACTTAATTGATAGTTGACCATTAATCAATATTTTCAATTTGAGTTTAAATCGATAGCCTATAAGAATAGTCCAGCTAAGAAACTTTACCCAAGCTGTGTCTGAATATATGCCTAGGCCTACTTGAATCCACAACGTTTAAAGCTTATGTGACGGCCCCAAAAATTTCCAGACCCATTGTATATCAGCTGGAGAGGATTTTTTGCTACACCCTCAAGAAACCCTCTCAATACCGTCACAAAAGCTTTTGCTTTATTTCAAATATAGCCTAAAAAGGAGGGTCTGTAATATTGAACTGTTTCAACCTCCAAACTTCTGCGTCAGCCCAGTTGCCTCACCATGGAATACTCTGGCGACCATGACTCGGCGCCAGGCCAATGTTCCCAGAAGTGTCACGCGCGCGGCTGGAAATACGCTGAGCTTTGTTCAGCAAATTCCTCGCTGAACCCGGTAACTGTGCAACTAGGCCTACAGTTGGTCTAACGCACCAAGTGATCGTTAGGCAGCAGCAATATACAGCAATGAACTGACGTCACGCGGCATAGCCTAATAAGTTAACGTTGAATTGGCTGATGCCCCTCCACGGCCAACTTGGCTACGGACGGAGAGGACTCAGCTGAAGTTAATCTAAATTCTAAATTCATATCGGTCGGTCGCTTCACTAGTTATGAATGACAACTGAGCTATAACTTAGCCTACTCTCACCAGCCATGGTATAAGGCCTAGGTCTAGTAAGGGTAAAGTGCTATTTATTATTTAGTTTAGTTATAGAGTAAGATAAGTTAATTTCACTAACCTTATAAATGATGAATAAACCACTGCTGCTATAGAAACTGCTAACAGAGTAATCGTATGTGGCTTATAGAAAAATTCTATGGATATGTCTTCCACAATCTTTTCATTCACACTATTAAAAGTGTCCAAAAAACTTTTAGGATAACTACTTGGACGCCGAATGGTCATCTTGAAATTCTCTCAAATCGCAAATAAATTTGACATTTGATCTTATACAAAATATGTTGAAGGTCCTAGAATTCAGGCTTGATCTAGGCCTTTTATGAGAAACTAGTCCACACAGACTAGTCAGAGAAATAGTAAGATCTCTAAATAAATAGGTAAGTTATTCTGAGAAACATAGAAGGTAAGGAACAATATTTAACTCGCGCAAACGAGACTAACAAAAGCGTGTGATTGTGATAATCGTATTTTAACCTAATAATATTGATATTTCGACCTTGACACTGCTATCAAATCAAAATCAAACACTAACACTAACACTAACTCAAACTAACTTGTACTTGACTTCACATCAGGATCAGACGAAATATTTAGGACTTTGGACCGGCTGACATGAGACAAAATCATCCATATGTGCCGCATAGCATAATGTAGTATTCCTTGTCCAAGACATAGAGCTAAAATATTCTACTCGTACTATAACAAGTTGTCATTCCGCCTAAACATACCAATGAAGTGAGAAAGTTTTGATGTATAGATGTTTGTGATAAGTAACGCGGCCACCTATAACTCCGAAAACACGAAAAATACTGGACGGATTGGGCTGAAATGTGGTGTGATGATAGCTCAAGTTCCCGATTAACATAAATAGGCGCATTCTTATCTCAAAAATCCTTTCGGGCTCCGCCCTAGTGGCTCTGTAGTTTCCCATGTGAACCTTATTAGTTTTCATATAATATATTTCATATATTTCATATAGAGAGAACAAGTGTACCAATTGCTCAAATTACAGCAATTGCGAAGTATTACAGGCGTTGTTTTAAAACGAATAACCGTAATAATTTCCGATGAATTTAAAAGAGTCGACTCAAAGAAAGATTATGGGAATACTCAAGATGTGCATAAGTTCGATATAATCAACATTTCTTGTAAATAGCTCATCATTTTTCAAAAGTGTTATCTACAAAAAATGTTTCCCACTCATAGCCGCATTAGGTTGTCCATAATAACGAATATAGATTTTAAAAAATGTATTTCTATTTCTTTAACTTGGTGGTAATTCTATGAATTTCCCCTTCCACCATATGTGACTTTCCTATTTTCCCATAGTTTTCAAATCGGCTCTTTCAATAATTGCTCAATAAATGCAGCACACAGTGTTAATTCAGTTTTCTTTTAGCAAATTTCCCTATAGGGAAGTAGCTATTACCGTAGGTCTCATGGTAAGACCTAGGCCGGGGACCGATTTACTTTTTCATTTTGATGTCCAAAGAGGCCAAAAACACTATTCGTTCAAATTTATATATATACTAGGTGAAACCCGTCGAAATCGACTGTTGCTTTAAAGGCTTAAGACAATTCTTCTAACTGCGACAAAAAGAGTGAAATTATAAAAAAGTGAGCATTTAGCATTGTTTAAAGAGTAATAAATAGGTGAAGAAATATAGTAAAGTTACGAGGTCTATGAAGAGGTCACGGCTATAGAAGAAGAGGGCTCTGTGAGGCGGAGTGACATCATTGTTATAGACAAGGAGAAAGATTTCGGTCTCAACATAGACCCAACAGTTCGTCTTGAGACAAATGAAAATCAGCCACAGGAAGTCCATGAATAAAAAGTAAATATTTATAAGAAAACTATCCCCTATTATTCGGAGAAATGTAAAAATATCTAAATTTGAAGTAGCCGGCCTATATGGACTACTCATTGGATCAAAGAGGAACAATTCCTCAACAAGTTGAGCAATTTTGGGAGAAATTCAATTTGGAAAATCAAGTGCTATATTTAATATCTTTAACAGCCATAAATTTTCTATTAATATTACAAGAAACCACCTCTATAACAATTATAATAATTAGGTTTAAACAAACTTGCAAAATTTAATGTAATATATTCTTTGTTCTACAGCAGACTACAATGTGTAGTGTAAGATTTCAATTTTTAAAATAAATTTAAATTTATATAATGTCTATTGCGTTGGTTAAAAAATATGGTTGATCATTCAATTAATAACAAATATTTCTTATACCGTCCGTCATATGAGTTTATTCATGATGACGATCAAAGTACAAAATGACTATGAATAGTTTAAGAAGTGTCTATTAACATTTCCTTATTACTTGTATGGAGGGGGGATGGACAGGTCATGCTTAAGATAATGTATGTATACCTATAAGCTTGTCTTAAATTAAAACAGGTTTATTATTACAACTAGCCTACGTAATTCAAACCATTGAAGGAATACACTTATTTGTAGGTACAAAATGTTATGGAGAAGACACTATCCTGCCTAATCTTGAAATATTAAGCATTCTCTTGATCCTGTTTTAAACAACTTTTTGGAAGAGGCTTTCACGAAGTCAGTAGATTGGTAGTTCATCCATTTTCTTACATTGCAATACTAAAACATCACCATATTTTGTCACCACTATTCCTCTAATTGTTTGTTATACCCCTTATTTCTTAAACCCCGAAACAAGCATCTTATCTTACTAATATCATTGACTATTGGATACAGAAGAAGGCATCCCATCTATACGGATCAGCTGTCACCAATTTTTTCTAAAAAAGAATGTAGTTGTGTGAGCCAGTCACAGATCGCGCTAGTGTCTAAAACTCTATTTTGTACCTTATTTTTTGTTACTGACATATTTGGTGGTTCACAACAGTTGCTATAGCTCATAATAAGTCATTCATCGGTTTGACTTGGTAAAAACCATCGTGTAATCGGCAGAAATCAGTAATTTAGATCAGCGCAATCTGTAGGTGGCTCATATCAACTAAGACAAATTTTATTAAAAACCGGCTACAACTTTAACATGGGGATGGAATGTCTACTAATATTATAAATGTGAAAGTTTGTGTGTTAGTTTGTTTGCGTGTTTGAAGTTCAATCACGCATAAACCACTGGGCGGATTGGGCTGAAATTTGGCATGATGATAGCTTACATTCCCGATTAACATATAGGCATATTCTTATCTCAAAAATCCTTTCGGGCTCCGCCCCAGTGGCTCTGTAATTCCCCATGTTAACCTTATGAGTATTTTCACATTTAAAGGGAATTAAAGTATTTAGTCAGCTGTTTCAACTAAAAAAGATGGTTCTATGATATGGAAAAGCATTAAAAAGTTATAAGATTTACCAACAGGGTGCAGCACTATATTTTGAACTAAGGAGCAACAAAAAACTGTGATTCGCAATGAGAACTGTCAAAGTAGGATTGTTTACAGTTATGTTTATGTTCTTCATTTCATGAATAATTTGTGATATTTTGCGAATTGTTGATAATTTATTTTTCTCTATTGTGAAGTGGTAGAACATTATGGCTATGGTAGAGGTGTGTAATACTATAGAATACTGTAAATTTAAAAAAGCAAATTTTATCAAACTGTGTCCTCCCTTATTGCAAACACAAAGCTAGAGTATAACTGCAATAAGCATTTTATACTTATATTCCAACCCCGTACGAAGGACGGGTACTCTGCTACGGTAGTAAATCTATAAGGCTTAAAACTATGCAAAAAGCAATACACCTGATGTTAGAATTTACACTATGTCTTAGCTCAATCCACCTGGAATCCTAAAGTAGGCTGATGCCAATCCCTTGGTTGCATCCCATCCTCATATGGGTTTTTTGACAACAGTCTGAGGCTTATCCATTAGCCATATACAGGGTTGGGCAAAAGTATGGACATCCCCTATTAACTGTAAGTGAGTTACGCCAGCAAGACCACATTCTCCACACCTTTATGTCATAGAAGTACACTTTTTTGTTGGTACCTATCTTTAAATTTCGTCTGGAATTTAAAAATGAGTATTTTGTGGACAGCTCAAACATTTTAAATGTAAAGCCCTTCAAGTAACACCTCATGATCAAAGGCCATCACTTAAAAAGAATATAAGCAAAGTCTCCATCTCAACCCCAGTATGGTGGCAGTTTTTAGTTTTCATCAATCTGAGAGACCAGAATCAAAAGGATTGTGCCATATAGGGAGTGTCCTAAATTTTGCCCAACCCTATAGTTTATTATGTTGTTACGATTTGTCTTTTCCTTGCCTACAATCTAAAGTCAAGATTGAGCTAACTCCTTGTGTGTGTGTTTGTCATCATGTCATAAAAACTTAAGCAGAGGCTCTTCTGTATTTATAATTACAAAAAAATTCTTAGTTTACAGCACTAGTTAACCCTTACACCTGTACTCTCACACAATTTACACCAAAATGTAATACAGTAATACAATTTAAGTACATCAGTACCCATTCCAACAGGAAAAGAATGAAATTTTTTGTGTATGTGGTGACTTTTACCATGTAAGTAATAAAAGGATTAGTCTCCTTTTAGCGAATTTCCCTATAAGGAAGTAGCTATTTGCGTAGGTGGCACGGTAGGACCTGGAGCCGGGACCGATTTACTTTTTCATTTTGATGTCACTAGAACTCGAGGCCAAATACACTATTCGTTCAAATTTATATTTATATACGTCCGTGAACGCGATAACTTGAGTATAATTTGTGTCCGATTTTGATGAAATTTTGTTTAAATGTGTAAGGCGGGATAAACTTGAATGAGTTCGCGAACTAGCATGATGGGACCGTGGGAACAGGGTTTTACGGGGGTTTTTCTCTTTTTTGACCCTCTAAACACAAACTTTCCCAATTTCCCTTTAGACCATTTTAAAGAGCATAAAAAACAAATAATTTAGTATACCAAAGTGTTTTTGTACAACTAATTACAGTTACGGAGAAAATTCAAAAAAATAAAAATTCCCATGTTATTCTTATAGATAATACTGTAAAATATGTTCTAGTTTGCTTGTTTATGGTTATATTTTGATCAAACTTGGCAAATTTATTTATAATATATTTTACTAAAAAACACACCTCCCTGTATACACACCTGTGTTTTGTCAGCCTCCCTGTGGCAGCAAACCTATGTACTCGTTTAACCTAATGTTATTTAAATAGATTTAATTTAAAATAAATTCAGGCAAATGGAAATTCGCTTAGTCTGCAGGTTTGCTGCAGCAGGGGGTATTTAATAAAAATAATTCTAGGGCAACAAATCACTGTATTACGAACCTGCAAAAACCTCTGCCACAAGTCTGGCCCAAACACACAGATGTAAGAAAGGAAGAGATTTGCAAGTATCCAGTTGCAAATGTTGATGATTTTAGTATGTTTGAAGACATCATAATCATAACCATGTATGATGCAGAGATAGGTTTCAGACACGACGATGGCCAAGAACACCCAGGCTTGACAACCCAAATGTTTTTGGTTTGGTTCAGTTATATACAAGTAGTATTGCCTGCAAATTGGACAAAAGCAAATTACCATAACCAACTTACTTCGTACTTCGTTCTTACTTCGTGTGGGAACGACCACACTTGTCCAGTAAACACCTATTTTTAGGACTAGTAACGTAATATACTTATCTACGACCGTTTTTTAAAGTAGCCGTTTCAGTTCAGTTCTCGCCAAGGCTCCGTACCGTTCTACTTTTGCAAACTACTATAATACAATGTTCCATGATCAGATGATGCATACCAGCAAACCCATTAACTTACTAGCCTACCATAAATCTTAAAATAATCAAACTTTCAAAAATATTTGCAAATATGCACGAATATTTTAAGCCCAATGGCCTGTTAATCAATTAAATAGGTAAAGTAGAATTGCGTAGATTGAGTTGTACAAAAGTCTGACAAAATTATCTCTAATTCAGTATTTTCTCACCCCTATAAATTCGGAGGCAGCTTATCATTTTTGCAAATAACTTTTAAATGGTGAGGAAATTGACCAAAGTGGAAGGTGATATTCTGAAAGAGAAGAGACAGCAAAAAGTTACCTCCACATACAAATTTTTAAACGCCCTGTTTTCAATGTATTCCTTACGGAAAAATTGTTTTTCACCATAAATTTGAACAAAACAAACAGTTATAATTATAATTATTTGTAAATCTACATGGAGTAAGCTCTCAACTACCCATTAAGTAATCAATTCGGTCCAGTTTTTAGAATCAGTAAAATATTTTGCCTATATTGTGAAGTCTCCATCAATATCCAATACAATATCTCAGCATAAGCTATGTATCTACATGTGGCTATATCTTATCAATACGGACAACTAGCAAAATAAAATAATTGTTTGCATGATAATTTCAATGATTAAAAATAATAAAATAAAATCAACCTGAAAGATGGTGCAGTAACCGCAAAATGTAAAATCCCTCTGCCGACCACAAGGGAGTGAAACTTTGGAATCTCAAAGACGGTGATTAGAAAGTATGAGTTCAGGCCCCCAAGTTGCCAGATTAAGAGCCAAAAGCTGATGTAAAGGAAGCGCTTGAAGGGTGGAGAAGGCCAAAGAAACTTGTTCATCCCCCAACGAGAATGAGCGCACAGCAAAAAGTCTGGCTCTAGGTTTACTGCTGTTTGCCTTCTGAAACAATTAATTGATGCTATATGTATCAGAAATCATTTCCAACTACCAATATTATGATGCAACTAGGCACATTTTAATCCAAATATGAATGTAGGATGTGTGCAGAAGAAGTGAGATGCTTTGTCAAGCTTTTGTAATGACTTGAGGTAAATAGTTTCTTTATCCTGGAAATAATTAGTTGGACAGCCCATCAAGGATAACTGATGGGGGGCTGGGCCCATTATCAATTAAATTTTGGGCTAATAATATTGTTGGTACGAATTCAGATTTAAGTTTCATAATAGCAAAAATATTAAATTAGAATTACAGTAACGGCATAAAACTCTTACCCATGACAAATTTTTGAGATCAAAACTTATAAAATGCTGCAAGGTTAACATTATAATTTTATAACAAGCACTAATTTAATAACATCTCAGTAAATACGAGCCAGGCCCAGCCCTCTTTGCTGTTGTCGAATCTTATATTATTAGTTTGGAATTGAACATATTTTAATGTATGGTGATTTTTATATTTCTTCTTCTTCAAGCAAATTTTCTTCATTTAGTGAATAGTTTAATCACACTGTACATGATAAATTATGAACAATTAAGAGTTACCGTACACTGATAATAGTGTTATTGTTGCGTTTCATCCATTCAAAAGATCACTCATCTTGAAAAATCAGAGCCAAAAAATGTATACAACCTGAAATAATAGGCAAAGTTATACTAACTTTGCTACATGAAATAATCTGTGTCACTACTCTATGACAAACCTCACACTAGTCCATCTAAACTGTTGCATTTTGAAAAGTTTGCACATCTTAAGGCCGAGCCAAATACCAAGACCGTTGCTTGCAATAACATCAATAAATACAGTGTCCCACCAACACTCCAAGAATCCTGGTTGGATGTGAGCAAATAATCTCTGAAAATGTATAAGAATTATTACTTTGAAATAACAAAAACACCGTGGAAATATAATAGTGAAAACAATAAATCAGAATTGTATTCGTAGCTAAGCTCCTAGTCCCTCAATTTAGTGACAGTTTTAGATCATTGGGGAAGGGGACAATGTTTACCATAGTGCTTTGTCATGTCCCATTACTCTTTTAAAAGTTTAATTAGAAAATATTGGATTCCGAAGAACTATTAGCATACAAGTTATGTTATAGGTTACAATATAGCTAAAAAATATGATAATTCTTAAAATCTTTAGACTATTGTTCCCTCCTTTGAATTGTTTTAGTGAAGGTAACTGAAACTGGAGCTGGAGGGAGGAATTGGTTTCCCCTGTACCTTTCTTAAAGTATGAGTACTAAATAGAAAATATCAAACATTTCAGGAAAAGAAACGGTTATCACTATATGGAGTTTGCGAAAGAGATGAAGAATTTGACTTTTAATTTATATTTAATTAATGTTTTCAACAAGAAAGAATTTGAATAATTTTTATGGAGAGAAATCTACAAACTGTGATTATAATAAATACAATTTCACTTCACTTGGGTCAATACATGACTCTTAAGCATAATTACCTCAGTTAATTCCCAAGAGACACTGGCCATCCAGAGTATTCCAAGGTGACGTACAATCATTGCTTTGAGAGCCCATCCAAGCAAGTCACTGAAGAAAATCATGTCACTTACATACAGCCATATTAGTTTCAAATTAACATCTGAGCAAATAAGATGATCCATTCCCTGAAACATGAGTTAAGTTATAGACAAATAGATAAATAGAGACCAACAGCAGTGCTGTGGTTAGCATATGTTCCGGCGTCCACCGCTAGGAGTGCCATGTAGGCTCACACCGCTGCAGCGTCTGCTGGTACAATCGCCTACAGCGGTGTGCGCCGGGTAACTATACGGCACTCCTAGTGGCACATCGCGAACCTTCCTTGGACAGTCTATATTCATTCTATTTGTCTATGGTTTAGTACACCAAGGAATGTATTTCTTAGATCTGAATTATTATTCCATTTTGGTTACTAATAAAAGTTTACTTTTTTAAGAGATATAGTTACAAACTGTAAAAGTAATCAAAAACAATTCAACAACTAATTTAGCATTAGGTAATAACAATTTGAACACATGCTAGAAATAAAATGTAAATAAATAAACGGTATCAGCATTCTGACACATACTTTCTCCCATAAGTTTGTCAACGACCTTTATCATGTGTAAGCGGTGAGAGTAAATATACGGAAATGGGATTTGTACAATTTTGTTCAGAATTTAAAGGACTATAACATACTAAATTTTTATCAAAATTGTTCTGGCCATTTTTGGGAAAATGCAGAGTCCAAGGGACTTTTTCAAAAACTTAAAAACAGTTTGCACACCTACGGGTCACGCTCTCTTTCCAATGAGACATGAATGGTGATCAAATTAGGTTAAGAAATGGCAGAGGAATTCAGTCCACAAATTTTTACTTTCTCCCGCTATACCATAGTATATTGAGAAAGTATTGTTTTCTTCAAAATTTTCAAGTATGAGTTTTGAGTGGATATATTCGTTTTGGATCCCCCTAGACCCAAAAAAAGTGGTTTTCGAAGTGATGTCTGTGTGTGTGTGTGTTTCTGGATGTGTACACTGTACAGAGCTAGGGACTACACCTGTGGTCTGATTTCGATGAAATTTGGTATGTAGGTTCTAATCCATGGTATCTCCAAGCATTTTTTTAATTTTTTTTATTTTGATTTTTAATGGGGATTTTCCAATAAAAACCCATAAAAAATCGGAAAAATTGGATTTTCTCAAAAATGACCCGAACGATTTTGATAAAAATTTAGTATGTTGTAGCACTTTATATTCTGAACAAAATGGTACAAATCCCATTTCTGTAAAAATTACGGTTCAAAAGCCATTGTAAATTATGTTATTTTCCCATAAAACCCCATAAAATAACAAAAAATAGGATTTTACAAAAAAATCCGGTTTTGATTTAACATAGTATGTTATGCTCCTTACAATTTTGAAAGTTTTTTTTTTTCAATTTTAGAAACTTTGATTTTTATTGGGGATTATTTAAATAGGGTTTAGTTAGGTATTTAGTTTTTTAGTTATTTAAATAGGGAAATAAATATGAAATGTAAGGAAAATTTCTAGTAAAAATCCAACCAATAAACAGATGGAAATTCGTTTGATTTGTAGGTTTGTAAGGCTATTTAAACTTTCAAGCTCACACAACTTACCACATAATCAATTTTAAATTCATAGTTCTCAATTTCTGGGTCATACCAGTATATCATTTGTTCAACTTCTTTGTAGCTTTGGAACATACAAAAAATAAGTGTGATTAAATATATCACACTTATTCCAAACACAACTCTCCAGACTGTTGGATGTGGGGTTGTAAAAGGACCAATTGGAAAAATTAAAATTGATATCAAGACGAATATAACCACTCCACAGAAGACCAATATGCTGGTAACTGTTTCGACATCTTGAGTCCTGAAGATAACACCAAAAAGGTAATTATAAATATAAATATAAATTTAACAATGAATGCATAAATTAAATATATATTTTGTATACACAATTGTAAAGCAGCTTCCTACAAAAGATGTACCCTGTGATACTAACTTGGCATCCTATGGATACCTACAACCTGCCTGGTCCGACCCATCCTTGCACGCTTCCTCGAGCAACTGTTTCAGTGATGAGTTTCCTCTAGTAGCACCCCTACAATTAATAGCTTTTTTGCCATTTGTCACACATAATGTTGATTAAATTTTTCATCACAATCAAAGGTTTTTGAAAAAATATATCTAACTTAACCATATTTGACTAGGTAAGTAAGGTAGTGAATGTACGCCATATTATGTAGTACGGTAAACCTACATAATAAAACAATAAATTCACGCGGTGGAGTTTATTGGTATGATCCTATTTTTTACAAACTTTTGATTGTGACGAAAGTAATCAGTTCTCCATGTCACAAAAAAAGTAGGTAATTAAAACAATACAGGAGTAGACAGTAAGAAGACATATAAAATATAAGGTAGGTATTAATTAACCTTCATTCCCTCACTCAGTTTTACCGAATTTCCCTTAGGGAAGTAGTTATTACCGTAGGCCCGGAACCGATTTACTTTTTCATTTTGATGTCCTCAGAGGCCAAAAACCCCATTCGTTCAATTTAGGTGTAAGTCAGGATAAACTAAACGAGTTCGTGAACCAGCATGATCGGACCATGGGAACGGGGTTTTATGTGGTTAAAAATGGGTTTTCTAATTTTTGACCCTCAAAACACAAAATTTTCCAATTTCTCTCTAGACCTTTTTAAATAAAGAGCTTAAAAAACAAATAATTTAATATATGAAAATGTTAAAATTCCCATGTTATTCTTATGGAGAATATTGTAAAATATTATAGTTTGCTTGATTATAGATATATTTTGATCAAACTTGGAAAATTAATTAAGGGAGCAATTGACTTATTCGAGAGAAAGGCGAGTGAGGAATGGTTTCTCGAGTGAGGCAATTGCACTTTGCACTCGAGTTGCACATTATATTTTTCCTACAGTTACCATAAAACAAATAATTGCCAAATTGGTAAAGAAACGTAACATATTTTTACACAGAAGTGAACTTTTAAATGATACAACAATACAACAGCTGACCAGCTGATTTACAGCCAGTGCTGCCAACGTATTTCGCGCGCATACGACGTTGTCTGCATGTTACGCGCTCACTATTTCGTGCCCTCACTTTGCAAATCTGGAGCGAGTGGGACAAAGTAATTAGAGTAAGACAATGTTAACATTGTCTCACTGATGAGCGATTTGGCCACTTTGCTTTCTAAAATCAGTGATAGAACATGTACATTGTTAGGTAACTGTAGGAAAAATTAATTTCCTTGTAGCAGCAAACTCCCTTACTACTTGTTAAACCAATAATGTTATTAAATAGATTTAATAGAAAATCATTTCAGACGAATTGGGAAATTCGCTTAGTCGGCAGGTTTGCTGTGGTGGGGGTATTTTCTCTCATTTAGTTTAATAGCGATCACAACCTATTTTATTTTAGAATATTCTATCCTTTGGCTGCACACAGAAGAACATTATTCAATAACAAGTCATAAATTTTGTGTCAAACCGAGCATTACAATTACAATCAACACAGAACTCACAGAAACAATTAATTGGAATAACAAAAGAAACATAAAAAGACAAGGGGAAAATAGTTAGTAATGTCACAGTTGCATGCTGAACTATTTTAACCTTTCCCTACATGATACAGTGGCTAAAAAAGGTAATGTTGAGTTGAGGTTATGTTTATGTGTCTCTCTATTTTGTTCTTAGTTAGTTAGTTACTTCAACTTAGGTCTGTTTCTGTTTATGATGTAGATGTATTTAAATTAAATTTTCTATTTGTTTTGCTAGGTTAATGAATGGAATTAGTACTTTATTTTCAGTTATGAACTAAACACTAAACTGACATAAACTAACTAAATTAACATTGATTTGTGAACTAAACTAACATAAATTTGTATCTTTATTGGCATTTTATACTCGATTGAAACTATAAATATTCCGGTAGGCCTATGGTAAGTAAATGATTGGTTCATAATGTTCTAATCTAACTTAATTTTCCTGTTAAGTTATTAATTAGGTTTTGTCAAAACTAAGGGTGACATGCGGGTCGTAAATGTTTACCCAACAATCCATCACGGGTAGGCTACTCAATCTCACTTCATGCATAATATCCTAGTCCCAGATCTAGGCCTAAGGCCTACCATTGGCTAAACATTGATATCTGACTCCATCTTAAACTGATCGATTATTTCAATCAATGTAGAGAGTTTGGTTTTCGGTGATGCTAAGTTTGTTTGTTCCAAGCATCCCCCAGGCACGGTGGATAATTGAGATCAGGGTTGCCACCTTAGGTTAGGGGAAAATCGGCACGTGGCCCCCCTCCACTCAGATTTACATAGGCTTAAATACGGGCATAAGGAACCAAAATCAGGACGGGTGGCAACTCTGATGGAGTTTCTCAAGACAAGATCCAGTAAAGGGCCCGTAAAAATTATGATCTTTAGGCAGATGTGCTCATAGTAGGCCTACTTAATCCCCTTTTGTGTAAGTTACAGTTTCTTAACTGGGCTACACTAATGTCGATTGAAAATATCGATTAGGCCCAGTTAAGAAGCTGTACCCCCCCTTTTTAAAAGACTAAGAATATCCTCTGTCTTCGACCACTAAGCATGCTTCTGTGCCTTCTTCACGTCAGGGATAAGTTAAGCATATTAAAGACCTTAAGTCCCGTGCAATGGTTTATTCCCACAACATCAGGCAAAGAAATATGCTGTATGTTTCCCGTGTCAGACTCTCTAACTTAGGACAGCCGCTATCTTTCGAACTAAGGGACTAAAGTTTTTGGTACTTTGGTATATTCCGGAGGCTACCCTTATACAGTGCACTGCGGGGTTAATTTAAGTCGGGTTATCATAAATATGTTTGTAGGACTTTCCTCGTTTTGTTATGAATCCAACGAAACTAGATAAGTTAGTCGTACTTTCACCCGCCAAATCCCCTCCAAACCGAAGCGTGCGCATCACCTGTCACCTTCGATAATGTTCGACCTGTAAATCGTTTTATTCACCTGGTATCGTTCGATTCATAACGAAACGTGGAAAGTCCAAACATAATTATGATAACCCAACCTAACATAGCAGCCGCAGCGTGCTGTATATACCTACTTGGCGGAGTATAGCGGCGGCGACGCATTCAACTCAATCCTCGCCGACATTGCTGCCTTCTGGGAGGCAGAACTCACTGCCGATAATCATAATCATGTCAAATTTGGACAGTAAGTACATTAAAGTATGTCCTTTCCAATTATGTAGCCTAGTTATTTTTAATCTCTGGTAAAAAAATCCCTCTAAAATAAGTGGCCTCCGGATAATAACAAAGTACCAAGTTTTTTAACACACTCGATAGTCACTAGGGGTTAGAGAAGGGGGTTATTAAAGAATAAACTAACTTAATGGCGCTTATGAAGGATAGACGCTTACAGCATTTCAGTTCATGGCTGATAAAGAAATTGCAAACCTACGGTACGGTAGCTATCTTTCTATCATCTCAGGAAGTTGGTTTTAAATTTATATGTAAGTCATAGGCCTATAGCAAATATTGAATTTCACATTTAGAACTATTATCACGTGCTGCAAGTATTTTTATTTTGACCATGTAAAAGTAGGCCAAGGAAGTTTTTCTTTCATTATGACGCAATCTCTTTCTATTTTTAAATAAAGGGTCATCTGACAAGTGTAGCCAACTATGTTAAAAAAAGTAACTAGTAACGTGTGATTAGGTGTAAAGTAAATCCAAGAAGATTTGAAAATTACACTTGTTATCTTGTCTTTTTATTGAAGTTCCCCATAAAACTCACTCTTTCCTTTGTCCCAAGCCCCATGAAATTAAACCATCAAGAAGTACTGCAATCAACTCTGCTTCTAAAATTAACAAAACTTACGTCTGTATCAGTTGAATGAAATAATCATCTATTAACATTTTTCAAAGTAAAAACATTAGATCACAAGGTTGTTCTAGAAATAGTAAAACTAAGCAATTGTACGATCCGTCGTACCACAAACAACTGTACAAAACAGGTGTTGATAATAATTACCTATAGATATCTACCATCAGTTTGTAACTGTTTAACTATACTTTCATCATAACCAGTTTGCTTTTAGAACTTTTTGAGTTGGTTTACTTAGCACCATTATTTACTTTCCTTGGCTGGTAATTTGTGTTTTGTATATCGAGGTACTGTATGCACCTGTTTGTGTTTTTAAATTAGTAAGTAATGGCTATTTACTAGTGTTAGGATGACATTTATCATTATTTTTAGTTGTGCAATCCCAACTTAGAGCTTTCAATAAATGTCCCGGTTTCCCATATTAAGTTTCTGGTTTTGGTACAAATGTCATTGTCTCCCGATTAATTGTTATATTAACATGGCTGCCAATTTCAAACAAAAAAAATGTTTAAATGCTAATGTTTCCTCAATTAGCTTTTATGACTCTTTTAAATCATACACCAAATTTCAGGAAGATATCTTTTATAGTTTTAAAGATATCCTATGAACTTTAAATAAAAAACAAAATAGTTAATTTCCTACTAACAAGACTTTTTGGAAAAAATTTTAGGCTGTTTTAGATTTTTGTTTTATTTTAATACATTTAATTAAACCTAGCCTATTCCTTAACCGTTGGTACTTACTTACGGGTCACCCTGTATAAAAGCATTCCTTACCGAAACGAAACAAGTGTGTATCTGTATCCGCACGTGATCTTACTGTTACCCCCCAAAGTGGTGA